GGAAAGCCAGTACAGTTGGCTCGGGAAAGATTTTAGATTCTTGTATTATACCAGTTTAAATCGCAGGGTTCTATTCATTTGGGATGTACTGATGAAGGATATCTGTTATCCGAAATATGTATAGATAATTACATTTAATGTTTTCATTATTTAATATTGGTGTTATTTTGTACACTTTTTAGACGTTTATATATATTAATTAAGATCCATTTTGTTACATCTGGTGATCCGTTTATTTGGCAATCGCCATGGCAGTCAGCAGTGTTTAATAACATCCGTTGTTCGACCTGCTAGTCAAATGCGTATTGCTAAAATATACTTTTTCATTTTTTTTTGTCGTTTGGAAAATGTTGTTTGTGCTGTATTTAGATCCCTCTACCAAGAAATTTGTTTTGCATGCACACGTATAGAAATTGCGTTTTTTATCCAATGCAATTATAGGTTTGAACGTTGTTTTCAATTGAGACTTGTTTACATATATTATGATTTGAATAAAATTATAATTTGATGTGACGGCATGGTAATTACATTATCATCTTTTACGACGGACAAAACATAGCTGATCTGAAAGATATACCATCGTACTTGCCATTATACATCATGTACTGTAACAGCCCTAGATAAAGCCGACGAGGAAAGGCATTACTCGACTAACGAAAGCTATATTTTTATATAAAATTGAGAATGGAAATGGGTAATGTGTAAAAGAGACAACAACCCGACCATAGAGCAGACAACAGCCGAAGGCCACCAATGGGTCTTCAATGCAGCGAGAAACTCCCGCACCCGGAGACGTCCTTCAGCTGGCCCCTAAACAAATATGTATACTAGTTCAATGATAATGGACGTCATACTAAACTCCGAAATATATAAAAGAAACTAAAATAAAAAATGATACAAGACTAACAAAGGCCAGAGGCTCCTGACTAGGGACAGGCGAAAAAATGCGGCGGGGTTAAACATGTTTTTTGAGATCTCAACCCTCCCCCTATACCTCTAGCCAATGTAGAAAAACAAACGTACAACAGTACGCACAGTAAAACTCAGTTTAAGAGAAGTCCGAGTCCGATGTCAGAATAGGAAACAAAAGAAAATAAACAAAATGACAATAATACATAAATAACAACAGACTACTAGCAGTTACTGACATGCCAGCTCCAGACATCAATTAAACTGATTGAAAGATTATGTCTTCATCATATGAATATCAAGGACAATCCCTCCCGTTAGGGGTTTAGTATCATACCATCATAAAATATATGAGAATAACATAACCCGTATCATGCCAACAACTGGTTTTAGAATAAATGTGTTTATTTCCGATGCAAAGACCCTATAAGTGAATCAATATTAAAGCCAAAATATGCCATCTTTAAAGACCTGACAACAGTATCGTAACTATATCCCTTCTTAATAAGTCTGTTTAAAGGTTTTGTTAGCTTTTGAGGTGAATACTGACATTTTTGTGCTTTGTAAAGAATATTACCATAAAAGATTGGATGTGAAATACCCGAACGTATAAGATGTCTACATATTGAGTTATATTTACGAATGATGTCCTTATACCGAAGATAAAATTTAGTAAATGTTTTGACTAGTTTATGATATCGAAAACCCTGGTGTAATAATTTTTCAGTAATACATAAATTTCTCTCGCTAAAATCTAATACGTTGTTACATACACGAGCGAATCGTACAAGTTGAGATATATAAACACCATAAGATGGTGACAAGGAAACGTCACCATCTAAAAATGGATAATTAACGATAGGAAATGAAAAATCATCTCTTTTATCATAAATTTTTGTATTAAGCTTCCCGTTAATGATAAAGATATCAAGATCGAGGAAAGGACAGTGGTCATTGTTAGTATTAGCTTTATTTAAAATAAGTTCAACAGGATAATTTCTTTAGTATACACACTGAAGTCGTCATTATTGACAGCCAATATATCATCCAAATATTGAAAAGTATTGTTAAATTTTTGTATCAGATGTTGTTTCGATGGGTCTTTGCTGATTTTAGTCATAGTTGTAACTCATAACAATATAAAAACAGGTCCGCAATAAGTGGTGCACAGTTAGTCCCCATTGGAATTCCGATAACTTGACGATATACGGAATCTCCAAAGCGAACAAAAATGTTATCAAGTAAAAATTCAAGGGCAAATATAGTATCAAAGCATGTCCAATTGACATAGCTCTTTTGTTTGTTGCTACTAAAAAATGGCCTAAAAGAGTTTGAACATATGTATTCGCATTCCGACTTTTTAAATGCCCATTTAATTAGGTGTGTGAAATTTTTCTTAATAAGAATATGAGGCAAAGTGGTATATAGGGTAGAAAAATCAAAACTTTGAACAGATTCAAAATCACCAATATATGCATGCAATTTATCAAGTACTTCCAACGAGTTTTTGACACTCCAAAAGTAGTTAATTCCACTATTTTCAAAGGCCTTATTTGAACAATTTATTATCAGGTTTTTGATTGTACCAAGTGTACTAGTAAGTAGGATAGACAATTTAGCCTAGTTGGTCGAGTGGTCTTGGGCGCTGGACACAGTGCAGGCGGAGTTATCACGATGTCACAGAAGCAAGGGAAATAATCATGCTGAGGGAGGAACAAAAATCTGCGAACACAAAAACACAGGTGAATTTGGGATTTTTAACAGACTTTTTAAAAGGGGAGCATCAATAATTTTGTTGTTGACAAAGATCTAACATTGTTGGACTGAATTTGAGACGAATTATATATATATTATGGTGTTAGCCCTGTATAACCACGGGTTATCTGGAGAATGTCTGTCATAAAGTTGTCACATGTTTAGACGTATATATATTATATATAAGTAATAACACTTGTGGTTCTTCATCCTGTCGATACTTATATTTTGGCATTGCACATAATCATGCTTTTCTCAAATTGACTATTACTTTTATTTTACAAAAAACCGTCGGAGGTGTACTGATAAACATTTAAGTCTGTGAGAACGCGGTTTATCCATGATTTGAAATCGACCTTTGAACAAGTTTTCAGTAATTGCGAGTACTCTTAGATCGATTCTTAGTGTCTTTTTATCTTATTTGTATTTGTTTTTTGAGCCGAATACCGATCCGATGAGCATTTCCAATTGTTCTACAAAATTTGTGCTTACGTTCTAATATTCTTATGATGTGTTTTACACCACAATGACCACAGTCCAAGGTTAGGGAAAAGGATGATCACTCACCTCACAAACCCTGTCAACTTCTGTATGTGCTGTCCCCGGCCAGGAATCTGTAATGTGTCCTTTGGCTTGAGGATAGTTGTCTTATTGGCAATTTCCACATTTTTTTTATTATATACATATCTTATGTTTACTTCAAATTTGGCACAGGTGGATTTGGGATTTTTAACAGAATTTTTTAGAAGGGAAGCATCGATAATTTGTTTGTTGACAATTCTGTAAAGGGGGAATGTCAAATGTGTTTATGGAACTGATTTCCATACAAAAAAATATGCACAAGAATAGTTCTGCTCGGTTTCTTTCACCGTATACACGTGTAGAAACTATATGACAAGGGTTTGTTGAAATCCCAAATTGAAGTAATAAATAATTTTTAAAAGTTTTTACCAAAAGTATAGAAAAGTATAGACATGATAAAATGATGTTTGAATAAATAAACTCGTCATAGATATCAGGATTAAAATTGTGTACGCCAGACGCGTGCTTCGACTACAAATTATTCATCAGTGGCGCTCGAAGATCAAATAAAGTAATTGAGGACCCAAAAGCCGAAAGGTTTTTCTTTCACATTTTATGGCATCTCGTTTGCACATCTTTAAAATAAAACTGAAAACAAACTGGTTCCATTTATAGATGACTTTTTTTGTATCTATTTAAGCGTATCAATGGGATAACAGTACCAGCAGGTCGTGCTTTTGTTTTTGAAAAAGCCTCAAACTTTCATGGGAAAACATCACGTTTTGGAAAACAATCTACTAGCGAGCAAATACTGCGCATATTTTCTGAATTATTGGAAAGATTTTAGAGAAAATACTGTTAAATAAGATAAAGGTAAACTCTTGACTTGTTTTTAAATCAATAGTTTTTTTGGTACAGAAAAAAATATCTGGAATTAAAAGTTTTTAAAGATAGACAAGCATTATGCAAGATCAGAATAAGTGCACACTCCTTAAAAATAGAGACGGATAGATATGCAAAAAGCTAGATAAATCACATAGATTATGAAATAAATGCACGTTTGATAAAGTTGAAGATGAAAAACATTGTATATGTCAATGTCCCCTTTATAATCTCTTGATAAAACAGTTATATCATAAAATTTTGATAAATTGTAAAAATTTCGAAATGTTAAACACAAGTACCAAGGTTAATTGGCTTTTTATTCAAGAAAACTTAGATGTATTGAAAATTATTGCAATTTATATTAATATTTGGAACTCAGAAAACTAGCAATATAGTATAGATATGTTTATATGTAGTAACCCATTAAGATTAATTGCCTGTTAATATTATATATAACCTTAAGTTAAGTTACTGCTTTTTTACTTGCATTCTTATGGCTCTGGTCTGGCTTAAGATCTTAGAATTAAGTTAATTATATTCATATTTATGTATGATTATCAAAATTATTGTGCCAATTATTGAAATCATTGTAATAAATTACTTTTTTTTTTGCTCTTCATGGGCCCTTTAATTGGAAAACATATACCTTATCTTATCTTATACTAAGTAACTTGATTAAAGGTCAGGCTAAAATGAACATGTTGTTTGGGAAGTGTAGAAAATAGTAATTTAGTAGTATTAACTATTTGCAGGACATTTCTTGACAAGAAACGAAAACAGTATCGTAATAGATACTTCAATTTCTCCTTGTGCTTGAGTAAATAAACGATTGTTAAAATTGTTTCTAATTACCGAGTCCCTGTTTTGTCTCGTTTGGGGCACCATTTAACGTATTTTCATATTAAAAACAATTAAGATAATAAACAATATTAACTATAACAAAATAACTTTATTGATCCTAATGACAGAGTTAATTACATACAATTAATCATGAAAAAAATAATAACACTGCAGATTCAAACATGTGTACATGTCTTTTTAAACAGTTCATATACTGAGTGCGATGATTTGTTGTATAAAGAGAGATAACTGTGATTTTTTCTGAATATGAATATGCTGATACACAGCAGAGGTGTAAATATCAACTCTGCACAATAAAGCTCAACAAAAATCACTCCATTTCACTTTCTCATATGTTTAAAACACTTTTCCTCTTGAAATAAAGGATTTAAAATCTTGAGGATAGAGCCTTAGTGCTCATAACCCTTTCCCATGATATCAACAAAAAAGATGTTCTGATATCCTTTATATACATGTATAGTGTATTACTATAGGTAATGGACTAACAACAGAACAGTTCTAGATTTTTAAAACTATCTTTCCACTTGTAATGATCGTTAGTTTTTCTTCTATATCGATCGATCTCTATGATGAGATTGTGATTGCTTAACCCGAATCTAACATTCATTAAGTTTTTATCTCGTTTTTTTAAATTAAGATATTTCGAAATGCAATATGTAAATATACGAAATTGCAGATCACTTCATTCAGCAACTCGGAGTCAATTTCATTTCATCTAATTATGTTTTATGCAATACAAATATGGTATTTTCCGTTTTCCCAATATTTACAATAAAAGTATTTTCTCAGAAATGATTAGATTGATCCTCATACATGTAGCTACAATTAACTCATTGTTTTTCATCCTTGTTCTTACAAGTGTAATGTGGTTCGAAACCTTAAGGATATCACTTGTAAATCAGACAGATCAGATTGACGTTTCGGTACGTTAGAGTAGTAAGTTGAACTTAATTCGTCGCTGTCTGACATTATGAGACACAACCCTTTACATTCGCCTTGGTACTATTCTTCATTTTGACATTTGTTTTAAGGCGTAAAAAAAGAATAAAGATCTTTAATGTAATCCTATATACATGAAAAAGAAACAAGTCAAAATATGCGACGACAATAATCGCCAATTATAATTTTACACATCATAAAGACGAAAGCAAAATACAAGATGAAATAAAACATGACATAGTAATATATAAAATCAGAAAGCTAACATAGAACTAGAATGCATACAGTTGTGGCGATTATCCCCTTGTATACTAGCACAAATAAGTTTTCAGATTATGTAATGTACACTTATAACGTACTCGGTTTAATGCATGTCTTTATTTACACTGATAAAGTACTCACTCCCTCATGTACACTTAATGAAATGCATAGTTATTTACCCACATGCAACCAGTCACTGTGGTCTCGTTTTCGTTATATTTGCAAAAATTCGTTGATACTGAACGTTGCCTTCGAAATATTCTTTTCGTTGGAACTTTTTTCCCTGTGTTATAGTTATAGTATTTATATATATGTTAGAGCACTTGTAAAATGGGTTCATGGTATTTTGGATTTGGATATATGCCTGTATCAATCAAATATTCTTTAAAAAAATGTTCTTCGCACACTGTGGTGGTTTTTGTCACGCAAGATGACTTGACATTTGGTTTGAATTGTAGTTATGTATAGGAATCGTGCAATGTATTTGGTTGCGCACGGAGACATGGAATGTTGTTAGTATGTATATAGAAATATCAATGTTTGTTGTTTTTCATTTCATTTCAATTCCTTTTATTTTTCTTTGTTAGTCTCAACCGAAATAGTTTGAAAGTTTTGCTAATAATCCAATATTTGTCAGTGTGAATGATGGTTTGCCGTGTAATATCAAGTCATCAAATGTTCGTACTATACTATTATGAAATACTGCAGTTATTTGAGAAACGATTGTGATGTGTTTCATATGGGCTAAAGCATTCAAAAGTCACGCCAACTATTATTTCGTTTTATGTTGGTGGCCTTATTCAACAAGGAAATACTGTGCCCTTTTTGGAATCTAATATTTATTCAATAAAATGGAATCATGTTATAAATTTAGTTTAATTCATGTTTAGATGAATTTCCTTCTTTGATTTTTGAAGGTGATAAAATGATTTTAAGTAAGCCATCTTGGCATTTGATTCAAATTGTATCTACTCCTTTGTTACGTTGAAGTTACTGCGAGCAACTAAATCTATATTATACTGTTGTCTTATTTATTCTAAGTAATTTAATAAGAAAATTGCTTTATAAATTCGGACGAGCATGGCGAGAGAGAATTTAACTATCTCGATCTTCATTTGATTTCTGGTGAAATGCTTTGTTTATGCACTTACAAACTGATCGTGTATTGTGGATTCTAATATTGTTTCAACATATTAAGTTTCCTCTTTAACGATGAATTCAAAAAATATCATATTTGAAAATTCAATTGTTTGAACATGTAAAATATTGTTTGTGCTAAATTACATGAAAATATACAGTAACGTTAATACATGTACAAAACCAGTGACACGCATTCTGCCTGCACCTGAAAAAAATAAATAGACATATATTTGTACCTGTAACAAAGCAAGATATTCTTTGAAAGCGACATTTTTATTATCGGTTTCTGAATGTCGAGCAGCAAGAAGCAAGTAAATAACTAGAACAGCTATTTGTTTTTGGTTCGGAACATTTCGACTTCTTAATAAATACAATACGATGATAAGACGACGGACATGTATGCTATGCTTTTGATATAATTTTGCACGGGATTCGTATATTTTTTATGAAAATGCTACTGATTTGCTAAATCCTATAAAGATTAACGTTTTATCTCATCTTTCTGCGGTTATATATTAACAAGCATTACTTAATTCTCATCCTGATTCCGACATTCAGCACTGCTACGTTTTATATCTTCTTATCTCTTAATCTTTATCATCCATGCAAGGCGATGTTATATATAAATCCGTTTTCCATTACAAATACATGTATTAGATCAAATTTAATTACTATTATCTGTGTATGGTAGAGTTGTGGTTGTGTGTGTGGGTTTTTTTTTTTTCTTTTTTTTTTTCATTCGCTTGTCTATCAAACATTTTATAATGTCTTTGCTGTTCTTAAAGAAAGTGTGAAATTCATTTTGCCGGTAAGAAGCATGATTGAAATTTGTATTTTCTCATGATTTAATTTACATCACTTTTAACTTTGATGAAATAAAGGAGCCCTTTGCAGAAAACATTAAAAATAAATATCTATCCTAGTTCTAGGATAATTTTGAATAACAGATCATCAAATAAAAATAGCCTCAACTGTTTAGATGTTAGAAATGTGTCGTCCAATTCACGAGGAGGAGGGAGGGTTAACAGTTCTGAATAACTTTCTGTATACTTTGATAACCACCTTAACAATTACTGATTTTTAGATTCAATATTTATCTCAGATCAATACTATGTAAATCAAAGTAAATCAAAGTAGATACATACTAGAGCTACAGTCCAGCAAGCCATAATTGTGACCAGTACAACCAATGTTTTTCGCTTTGGGTCTGCCACATGATGCCTCTACTCGTTGAATGTACGAATGGTAATTGTTTATCACCTGATGACACTTCTCGAACACATCTTCTGTGAAGTTAAAGATATTTTGCGGAAGTAACTCATTTAAGATAAGCATATCTTTCCCGATGCTGATATTGGTATTCAAGCAAGAGTATACCTTAAAGACAGACCTGTAATTAAAAAATTTTGAATGAATTCGAGCTTGTTGCCTTATAACTTTATCATATTCCTAAAGTTGTATTCAAAAATATACACAATGATTTAATCTAATAATCGGTCTTACTTAGAATTGGCATAAGACTTTTGAACAAATGTGTTCGATTCAGGGGGGATGTACTAAACATGAAATTTCACTATTTTTTAACAAATAAACATCTTTTTTCTTTGCACACTGACGGATGTTGGATAAGGACAAAATATTTTCCTACAACAGATCGCCACGGAAATATAAGGCAGTTGTTGCAAAGATTCCTTAACGTACATAAAGCGTGCGTGGAATGCATCACTCAGGCGAAATCGGAATTAATTAAAGTCCCAATTATTACCTTACGTGGAGCAACGTCTTTATACATCCCATTCAACCAAGATGGTTTTACTGCCAGGCGTGAGAAGTCGAGGGAATACCATAATTATATACCGTAATCAACCCTTTGAGTCTTTTAATTTTGTAAAGTATTTTTGTTTGTCAATACAATGAGAACGTTTGCCACATTCAAAGATCATCAATTCAATCAAACATACAGTTCAATTTGTAATTGTTGTGTAATAAGTGATAAGAACATTAATCAGGTGTATACTAGTTCTTTTTCTGGAACAAATCAATGTCAGAAAAATACCAAGTTTTTATATGAGACTTAGAAACTGGGGTAGGACGTGAGCGAGGTTTGCCGAGCCTTTCAACAATTTCGTGTCGAATACAAAAAACGTTAATATTTTCTGACATTGACCTTATCTTGTTTTATACTGCTACAACTAAAATGGCTACAATTATAGTTACTAAAATGTTGATAAAAACGTATTTCCCTTCCCTGAATTAAGACAACCGTAGTTTACCGTGTTCAAATGTCATTATTCGATTACGAGGAAAAATCAAGGTAACAAACAAAAACTGAGGGAATCGCAAGAACTACAAAAGTATTGAGACCATGTAAATCAACAGGTTAAGCGTCTCCTGATATGGATTCATCACCTGCCATGCGAATCCACACTCAGCCAAAATGTCACAATCAGGTAACATTACAGATTAGACGACAGTTCCGCTTTTTAAAGATCTAAGACTGCGAAAACATGTCGGTAGTGAGGTGAGAAACTGGCCCCAAATTGGTCGAATCGTGGCGTTACATTAAATTGACATTGCACGAAACATCACTTTGTTACTACATTTGGTAAATAAAACCAGCAGGAAGTGTTATAGCTGAAAGTGTATTCAGTATTAAAAATGTTAATTAAATAAGTTTCTACAGCCAAGAGTAAATGGATGTCACTTCATTTAATAGTTCCATCAGTAAAACACTCCAATTATACCGTTTTTGCTATTGTACAAATAGAACAAGCTATGTCATGTAAACTTTTGTTTTAATCAAGAAATTAAAAGTAGAATTGCCAGTACCAATATCGACCATATGTGAATATTTCTTGTTGGTTGATAAATTACAATACTTACATGCAAGTTTCAAAATTGATATGCGAGGCTTTAAGGGATGACTGGTCCTTCACATGGACCAAACAATTTAGGATGACATGGCGTATTTCTTCATCTATGAGCAAAAGATTAAATGTGAGTCAGTTAAGGTGAAAGAGCTTTTAGGTAAATAGAGTCTGACCAAAACTTCCATATATTGGTCCAATTGAGATTAAGTGGATGGGAAAGGTAGAGTTCTTCAAAAAAGTATGGTTTTAAAAAAAGGGTTAGATTTGTGATCTAGCTGGATTTCATTTCTATTAATTATCTAAAGTGAGGTTTGCAAATTTTAATTTGAATGTCCATTAGAATAATTCTAGATACGAACATTATATCTTCTTACTTAATCACCTGTCAGCATAAGTTCTCAAATGCCCTAAAAATTTCTTAAGTCAAATCTTCTTATTTTATGATTTGGGCTATATAAATTAGACAAAGACTCAACTTGAAACAAGAGGCTTAACCATTATGAATGGTTACCATTATATTTAACACGTAAATGCATCTTAGAAAAAAAGATATCGTAAAATATACGCCAAAACCTGAAAACTAATAAGTCCTGATAATTTTCAATAGCACATGATATGATTGAAATATTCTTTGTGCCATGATTTAAATTTAGTGATACATTCCTGTAATGCTTGAACCTCTGACACAAAAGTTTACTTCACAAGAATGCTTTGATTACTGTGTATTTTTAAATATGATGGTTATACCACATTTGTATCACATGAAACGCCAAAAGTCAGTGTTCGTACAAAGTAATATAATTGGCCTTAAAATTCCGAGCAAAACCATTACCGACATAAGAAAACACTTATGTTATTGGCAATCCAAACCGTCTTCATATTTGAACTGCCCATTTAGGGCGCGGGAATTTAGAAAATGTTTAAAGAACTGTTATACTCGATACACGTGTACAGTTCCTCTCCTTATGCTACAATATTAAAATATTTTTCTTTTCCATTTTTATCATTAGTATTCCTCCTTTTCCCTTAAAAAGGTTAATAATTTCGTGCAACTTTGTTTCATAACAGAATGGCCAACGTAGATGCAAATATTTTGTTTAATAAAGAGACTGATCACCTATGAAAAAGATCACATACATTCTAAGACTTTCTCATGGTACCTGAGTATTGACAACATTTGTGTTGTGAGAAATGGACGTGTCTGTAGATTTTATTATGGAAATAAAATTAGCTCCTTTATCGTCGACCTTCTTCTATATTCGTATGTGTCTAACTTCTTGCAGGGGTTTATAAAATGAAATGAAAAGGAAATTGTGTTCTCCTTTGCCTTGATGTTCCGCTTTAAAATGTCTTTCATTGTATAATTCAAGGTACTGTCACCAATTTGATAGCATCTATCCTATTGTCTGCTTCATACCTTGTCTCACACATGTACATAGTAGTAAGGGTAGGTTGAGAACTAGACGTTACGATATAAGAGACTACTTGAATTGTACGTTTATGAAATTTTGCGTAGAAACGTTCCAAATGCCTGTACCAAGTCAGGAATATGACAGTTGTTATTCATTCGTTTGATGTGTTTGAGCTTTTGATTTTACCATTTGATTAGGGACTTTCCTTTTTGAATTTTCCTCGGAGTTCAGGATTTTTTGTGATTTTACTTTTTCCAATAGCACTTACATATGGAGTATATATTTTTCAGTTGTAAGATGTATTCAAAAGAAGGGCTAGTCTGATTTAGGGCTCCTATTCATAAGGCAGTTTCTGTCCTAAGGATTCTTTTATGATAATTTTAATTCGTCTCTTCAAATGAATTCGAGCACCATCATGGCTTGTTTTTTTTTTACCTTTTGGTGTGTTATCTTACTTTTTTATACTACTTGTTACATTGTTACATTGCAAACTGTATTCCTGATAATTAGCTAGTTTTAGTTTTCAAATATAAAATATTGTATATATATTCAGATGCAAAACATGGGCTTTCATATCAACAGCTACAGTTTAAACCTAATAATATTTTACCACGAAAAATATAGCACAAACTAATTTTTGACATTGGAACACAATAGTAGCATGATACTGCTTTTTAGTGACTCTGTGGTGTAAGTTATTAACATAAGCCTAATCTAATAGTACAGTAGAATGCTGAAATTGGGTGAATAATTCCATTTTCTTGGTCTCTGACAATAAAATATTGTTTTCCTGTTCAAACATGATCATCGATACTTTGAAATCTTTTATTATACCCATGTAAATATAGACTATTGTGTTAAAAAATCTTACAATTATTATCCCATGGAATTCCTGTTGTTGCATTGTGTGTATTGATTTGTTTAGAAGTCGTTTCAAACAATTTCGTTCTCTCTTTTACTTTATTTCCCGATTTATTGGAGTGTGTTGTAGGAGTTGTCTTTTGCAATGATGTAAACGATTTCACTTCACTGGTAAAAACTGGAATATTGGTGTTTTGCGTAACACTTTTTGTAGTAAACTCTTTACTGCTTTTCATGTTAGAAGTGAAAGTCAGAGATTCGGTTGTCAACTTTAAATTTTTTTTATTAGTTGTCATTGCAATTGTTGTGTCTGGTATTTCAGATGTCGTAATCATAGTCGTAAATGGAATCTGTGTTGTCGTTATTGGAATCTGTGATGTCGTTATTGGAATCTGTGTTGTCGTTTGTGGAATCTGTGTTGTCGTTGTGGATGTAGTAGTTGTACATTTTACTTCACGCTCAGCATATTGTATTGATCTTGGGAGTAATTTGTTAATTTCTTCACAAATCTTTGCCTTTTCGTACAGGCAGTTCTTGAAATTAATATGCCGTCTGAAATTTAAAATATTCTTTAAAGAACGTGCTTGAAGTAATATATCTGTATCGACTTAGTTAATTAATGTTTTTGCTTAATAACCTGTTTGAAACATACATGATATTTTTGAATTAAACATGTCGTTGATGTTATCCTATTGTACACAGAAGGTATCGCCTTAATGATTTGGTGTATTCATTTGTATTGCGATCGTTTTTGCCTGTGGTCATTTTCCCTGATACTAGTAGTAATGTTATCGTTTACTTAAGTCTTGTGATACTTTTTAAATATGTTTTGAATATTACTTGACATTATCCCATAAAATACTCAATCAAACGTAAGAAGTGGTACGTCTTGACAAATTGATTTACTACTTTATTTCGACGTGTAAGCACTTCAAATTTGTTTGTATACTTCATCATAGATACTACACATCTAAATCATGAGCAATCCATTTTAGTTTATTAAAAAAGTCAATCCTTCTATACTTATATGTATACTTATATGTCTTTTGAGGGACCATCGAGCTCCAAAGTAACTATAAATAGTACTATCTTTGCATAAGCATTATGTACATGTCTTCAAAATAAAATGAGGAATTTCAAAGTTAATAATTTTTATGACAATTACTTACTGACAATCAGGAGCATTGGTTCTTTGATGCTTCCAACACGTGTTAATAGCTTTAATGGTGTCGTCTAAGGTTTTACATCCTTCACGAAAACAAATTTGTCATATACATGCACATTTTATTCATAATTATAAATTACAGTTAGACAAAGAATGAAGCACTTTTCTTTATGACATGGCATATGGGTATGTTCATTTTTATTTTTTAGTACATAAGTTTTCACGCTGTTCACAATGTCGTTAATTTCGGCATTCTAATATCGTTATGTAAACAAAAAACTCTCAAATATGTTTTATCATATAATTGTCATGTGTACCACTTATTGTTTCGTACTCGTGCATTTTATATTTTGATCATCAAAGTAATCTTTGTTATAATCTCTTGTCCAGCAAAGGAATGTATCTCCCTCTCGTGCATAGCTATAATCTCTTGTCCAGCAAAGGAATGTATCTCCCTCTCGTGCATAGCTATAATCTCTTGTCCAGCAAAGGAATGTATCCCCCCTCGTGCATAGCTATAATCTCTTGTCCAGCAAAAGAATGTATCTCCCCTTGTGCATAGCTATAATCTCTTGTCCAGCAAAGGAATGTATCCCCCCTCGTGCATAGCTATAATCTCTTGTCCAGCAAAGGAATGTATCTCCCCCCATCGTGCAAAACTATAATCTCTTGTCCAGCAAAGGAATGTATTTTCTCCCTCGTGCATAGCTATAATCTCTTGTCCAGCAAAGGAATGTATCTCCCCCCTTGTGCATAGCTATAATCTTGTCCAGCAAAGGAATGTATCTCCACCTCGTTGATAGCTATAATCTCTTGTCCAGCAAAAGAATGTATCTCCCCCTTGTGGATAGCTATAATCTCTTGTCCAGCAAAGGAATGTATCTCCCCCCTCGTGCAAAGCTATAATCTCTTGTCCAGCAAAGGAATGTATCTCCCCCCTTGTGCATAGCTATAAACTCTTGTCCAGCAAAGGAATGTATCTCCCCCTCCTCGTGGATAGCTAGAATCTCTTGTCCAGCAAAAGAATGTATCTCCCACCTCGTGGATAGCTATAATCTCTTGTCCAGCAAAGGAATGTATCTCCCCCCTCGTGCATAGCTATAAACTCTTGTCCAGCAAAGGAATGTATCTCCCCCCTCGTAGATAGCTATAATCTCTTGTCCAGCAAAGGAATGTATCTCCCCCTCGTGCATAGCTATAATCTCTTGTCCAGCAAAGGAATGTATCTCCCCCCTCGTGCATAGCTATAAACTCTTGTTCAGCAAAAGAATGTATCTCCCCCTCGTGGATAGCTATAATCTCTTGTTCAGCAAAGGAATGTATCTCCCCCTCGTGCATAGCTATAATCTCTTGTCCAGCAAAGGAATGTACCTCCCCCCTCGAGGGTAGCTATAATCTCTTCTATAGCAAAGGAATGTTTCTCCCCCTCGTGGATAGCTATAATCTCTTGTCCAGCAAAGGAATGTATCTCCCCCTCGTCCCTAGCCATAATCTCTTGTCCAGCAAAGGAATGTTTCTCCCCCCTCGTGCATAGCTATTAACTATTGTTCAGCAAAGGAATGTATCTCCCCCTCGTCCCTAGCTACAATCTCTTGTCCAGCAAAGGAATGTATCTCCCCACTCGTGGATAGCTATAATCTCTTGTTCAGCAGAGGAATGTATCTCCCCCTCGTGCATAGCTATAATCTCTTGTCCAGCAAAGGAATGTACCTCCCCCCCCCCCACCCTCATGGGTAGCTATAATCTCTTCTATAGCAAAGGAATGTATCTCCCCCTCGTGGATAGCTCTAATCTCTTGTCCAGCAAAGGAATGTATCTCCCCCTCGTCCCTAGCTATAATCTCTTGTCCAGCAAAGGAATGTTTCTACCCCCTCGTGCATAGCTATAAACTCTTGTCCAGCAAAGGAATGTATCTCCCCCTCCTCGTGGATAGCTATAATCTCTTGTCCAGCAAAGGAATGTATCTCCCCCTTCGTTGATAGCTATAATCTCTTGTCCAGCAAAGGAATGTATCTCCCCCTCGTGCATAGCTATAATCTTTTTTCCAGCAAAGGAATGTACCTCCCCCCTCGTGCATAGTTATAATCTCTTGTCCAGCAATGGAATATATCTCCCCCTCCTCGTACATAGCTATAATCTCTTGTCCAGCAAAGGAATGTATCTCCCCCTCGTGCTTAGCTATATTTTCTTGTCCAGCAAAGGAATGTATCTCCCCCCCCCCCTCGTGCATAGCTATAAACTCTTGTTCAGCAAAGGAATGTATCTCCCCCCTCGTGGATAGCTATAATATCTTGTCCAGCAAAGGAACGTATCTCCCCCCTCGTGCATAGCTGTAATATCTTGTCCAGCAAAGGAATGTACCTCCCCCCTCGTGGGTAGCTATAATCTCTTCTATAGCAAAGGAATGTATCTCCCCCTCGTGGGTAGCTATTATATCTTGTCCAGCAAAGGAATGTATCTCCCCCTCGTCCCTAGCTATAATCTCTTGTCCAGCAAAGGAATATTTCTCCCTCAAAGCTATAATCTCTTGTCCAGCAAAGGAATGTTTCTCCCTCATAGCTATAATCTATTGTCAAGCAAAGGAATGTATCTCCCTCATAGCTATAATCTCTTGACCAGCAAAGTAGTGTGACTCCCTCATAGCTATAATCTCTTGTCCAGTAAAGGAATGTATCTTCCCCCTCATGCATAGCTATAATCTCTTGTCCAGCTTCGCTAAACGTTTGGTCCTCTTTAGTTATATTAATTCTTCAATGATTTAAATAGGTTTTACATTTTCAAATAGTTTTGCTTCGAGCATCACTGAAGAGATATTAAGTACACCAAAACACTTTGGTGCAGTCAAATTGGTACTGATGATGGTGCGTATACTTAAAAATGATAAAATTTCCATTATGATTTGGTTGACCGTTATGGAACATCTGTGTCACGCATGATATGTTCAATTCGTAACATTATCCCAATCCGCTATCTTTTCTTCGAGTGTGACATCACAAAAAGCAACCTATTTCAGTATTCCTAATTGCCCTCAACTAGTGGTCCAGGGTCTGCTTTCCCTCCCACAGCACCTTAGACAAAACTATTACAGACGGATGGTGAAAATCAATTTCGATAATCATGATGACATAATCATTAAAAGGTATTTGATAAACACTAACGAAAGTAGTTTGGATAATAAGAATATTTTATGTACTGGCATCTTCATTTAAACTGAAATTAAGAAAACCATTAAGGATGTCTATTGTATTCAAAAATATATATTTTAAGTATCCCCAACCCGCGGGTTACATCTTTTAGCATATACAATAAGCGATATATTGTAGAATGCACGCTTTTATGCATTCATAATTTACTTCCGATATCTACAAAGAGGTCTTTAAAATGCAAGAAGAGTGACAATCTGACTAACACAACTGTCCCAGGTTTGCAGTCAGACATACTGATCATCTATCCAAGTTATATTGATATAACAGACTCTGCAGATAAAGCTCTGTTTGGTTGATACCGTTACTTGCATCGTATTCACAAAACTGCCACAGAATACTTGATACCGATTTGTGTGTGTACAACGCGTGTTTATGCATCAATCTTCATGACCAAAGATTTTTAAAAATGAAAAAATATTAAAATGTTTGAGGGCGTGTTTATAAACCAATATGTCCTAAACAGAACAACAAAACCCTTCTAATGTAAACCTTAGTATATACAAAATCATATCTTGATAATGTGTATCTTCTTTTAGAGGAGATAAGCGACAAACCGTGATGTACTCTACATGAGGACTGGTATATTGAGAGAAATAATGATTTTTTTCTGTTATTTTTCGTCACAAAGGCACAAGTACAAATTTTATCCATTTTGTGCAGATCCTATGGTTGGAAATGTTAATATACATGTATAAGACGAATGTTGATATGATCCACAAAATTCATATTAATATAATGCACATATACCATCTGTTTATAAAAGTAATTGCTCGGTTGATTTCCACCTTAAAATAATTAATTTACCTGATAAACAAGCCCTGTTATAGTAGGATTTAGATGCTCTGGCCAACAAAGAATAGTAAAATGTGATATTGAATAAGCAAGAATCATTGAATATCTGATTTACACAATCCACACTTTCATTAAATGTTCTGAAAATAAAAACAATACCCGTATTACCATGAAATATTACAATGAATTCATGACTCATATGTACTCGTATTTTTACTCAAGCGAAGGGGAGCTTGGGTTATCTATAACGGTAAAAATAGCTGTAAATCCTCCAAAGTAGTTCTTTACTACAATCTTCTGACAGTGTTCGTCAAAAATGAATCAGAGCAGATACAAAATGACCGGCACTTGTTTCATGGGATGGTAAAGGTCCCTTCTCTCTTTCTTTCCACAAGGTAACCAACTCATATTTTCACATCTCCGATTCAAAACTATATTTTGCTGTCAATTCTTGGGCAAATTTCAACTTCAATATAAAATAAGGAGAAACACGCCATTTTATTCGTGAAAATTTTCCTTTCCGATTGTATGCACCGTATATACCTTTAAGGTACCCCTTACCGGCAATTCACAAGATTTATCAATAGATTTTCCCTTGCTGTGTTTCAAGACCGCATATAAAATCTCTAAAAGGGATCAAAAGTGAAAACTATAAACTGCAAAAATGATCAGCTATGCACGATCTACAAAAATGTCAATTTGACCGAAACAATTGGATGTATCCGAGTAAGGAGTTATTGTCCTTAAGTGACTCTTTTTGACCTCTATGTGTTTTGTCAATTATTCCAAAAACTATAATTGATAATTAGAAAATGTAAATATACAAAGTGATGAGCAATACAAGATCATTGAAAACATTGTATCAAAATTTCGTGAGTATTGCCTTAAATGACAATTTTTATCCATTTGTTTTGTGTTTCGGGCTAACGCTTTAAAAATGATCAAGATTGACAAATAAGTTGTTTATGCCGAAATTGTCAGTCCACTCCTTATAGTAGTTTAGTTATTGTCATTTGCTAATGCGTATTATAAATTACTTTACTTACCTACAAAATTTCTCTACTTGTCCGTCTTGTATTCCATTTTCATATATTTTTGATTTGCATTTTTGTAAGTCTTGGAAATGTGTACAAACTAGAAAGCAATTTTAAAAATACAAATTAAAAACAAAGAACGTATTAATTTGTACAAGGTTGATTTTTATTTCAAATTTAAAGAGGAAATGTGCCAAAACATTGAAAATTGATCAGAAATCTACTAATTGTTTCCATTTGAAATTGTGTTAAATGTTTCTAATGCCAACACAACTTAAGAAGTCAATAGAAGTTTATAAGCCATAAAATTACTCAAAAAGGTGATGACAGTTGTTTTTTTAATTTAAAATTGCAGAATTTCGCTTTTTGTTTGACATCCACATCAATAAGATATGTTCACAGCGAAACACACACGTACACTCATTAGTATCCTATATTTATGTACCTATTTGAAAAATTTAAAAAAAAATATAATGTTCATTTAATTTTGTTTTTCTCCTATAAAATAAAATGTCCGGATTTAACATTACTTCCAGAATTCACCAAATGCCTAATGTTACAAAGCAAGACATAGCATTACTGTTGTGGATAAACACTTGCATTTTTCTTTGTCAGCCATTAAAACTATTTAAATTAACGTAGTGTTCAGTTGTTTGCAGTTTTTCAACAACAACCTTGATTCCCATTATCTCAAGAAAGAGAACTTGCTGCTTTATCCTCAATAAAATGAATAACGAAGGCTCATTAATTCTGAGTATTTCTCTACATTCAATATAGTTGTTTTTATGTTTTTAAAACAACAACAATGGGCATTTATGGTTGTTGTCCGTTGATCTTTCACATTGAAGATTTTTTTAAGGCTATGCACTTTTACTGTCGTATGTTTATGAGATGAAAGATGTAATCATCGACTGATATACAACTTGCACTTATAAAACAAGAAACGTCTACAATATTTATTTATTTGTTTCGTCATTTGCATTTATTTCTTACCCGAGTCATTGCAGAATGCTTGAATATCCTCAATAGTTTCAGTCCACTGTGTCTTGACATATTTAGCTGCTGTTTCATCACACATTTTGATATTGTCATCATAACATACAGTTATATTACTACCAACAATGATGGACCTTGTGTTTTAGTGAAAAATAAGATAAGAAATTCTTCAAGCAACAGAAATATTAATCATTCTTGAAGCCAGTGATGTAACTACACGTCAATGTGATATTTTTTTTTACATTTACAGTTAGAGGTTTGCCCCAAAGTTGTCTCTTAAATTATTTTTTTTTTTTAATTTTGAGTAAAATTAAAATACCACTTGACCAAGTCTGTTGAAATTTTAACACAATGTCATGGATTTCAAACTAATGAAAGGTTAATAGATATAAGAAGATGTGGTATGAGTGCCAATGAGACAACTCTCCATCCAAGTCAAAATTTATAAAAGTAAACCATTATAGGTCAAAGTACGGTCTTCAACACGGAGCCTTGGCTCACACCGAACAGCAAGCTATAAAGGGCCCAAAAAATACTAGTGTAAAACCATTCAAACGGGAAGTACGATTTGTAATTTACAGACCAGTAATTCCCCTTATTTACCTACCTTAAACTTTGATTGTTTTCCAGGTGATAATGAAAGTACCATTTGATGAAATCTTTCAATCAATCAAACAAACTACAAGCGGGGGAATCTGTGATCACTAAATCAACTTATCTAGTTATTCACACCATTATGCCATTAAATGTATTTGGACATACTGATCAATTATTTCCAATCAGTATGGCTGTCTAGTTAATAGGATGAAGGAATAGTTATATTGTATAGTTGTATTTGTTATGATTTATATGCATGTCTTTGGGACCTGTGATTAGGTTAATGAAAGAATTTTATTTGAATTTATGTTGCATTCATCATGCTTAAACATACTGAAAGCCCCTCATCCTAAATCGTTATTGAAAGCTATCATTTTGAATTAACCATAATATCATGGTGGAAAAAAGTAAAACAAAATACCGAAATTCAAGGCAAATTCAAAAAGGGAAGTCCATAAAAATTGACCAAATCAAACGCTATCAATCAACGGAACAGGTAAAAACAACTGCCGTATTCCTCACTTGGTACAGCATTAGATAGGGAAACTAGATAGGGATGTATCTAAGACATACGAATACGCAATAGTAGTATTGTATAGGCATATTCTACCATGAAAATTGTAAACAATAATCATAATCATTGATTTGTAATTTGATTGGGTAACAGCATGAATTATAATGTTTAAACTTACCTGCATAGATCTGTAAATTTCCTGGTGATTATATGTACATCTTGCCTCTCGTATTCCATGTATGCTTCATCGAACTGAGACTGTAAGCTAACAGCACACTGCTCTGCTTGTCTGAGATCACATTGATTCTGTCCGAAAACTTGTCCCACTGAAAATAATCAGGAATATTATTTCTAGTATCTTTACACATTCCTGAAGCATTTTGTTTTCACGTATCAATGAAAGAATATGTTGGTATTTATCAATGATAGCAACCTAATGTAACGATATTAAGAAAAGTGGTATGATTGCAAATGAGACAGGTACCAAATGAAGCTGATTAAGTAACTATAAACATTATTCTTCAGCTGCTTGGCACATTGAAATCGTCCAGTACGCCCATTGGACAACAGCTTCATATCAATAAGCAGAATACCCGATAATTAGTACGATTCTGCACTTGGATTAACCAAAATTACCATTTTATCATGTGATCAATCAGGGCCATTATAATTTACACAAAAAAAACAAACTGAATAGGGAAATGATATAAATATAGAAGGGATGATGTATCGTCCGGGCTTTAATTATATGTAAATGAATACAATACAATGATGGTACATGTATATGTTTTGATTATTGATTTAGCAACCACCAGTTTACTGACTCAGTACTCAATATTGTGTTGATTAAATCTTTTTGAAATGTGGCATTTATTTAAAATTAATAATCAAACTGATTAGTAAAATGAGATTAAAAATAAAAATCAAGGATTTTACATTTTTAGCTCACCTGACCTGAAAGGTCAAGTGAGCTTTTCTCATCACTTTGCGTCCGTCGTCCGTCGTCCGTAAACTTTTACAAAAATCTTCTCCTCTGAAACTACTGGGCCAAGTGCACCCAAACTTTAACACAATCATCATTCAAGTATCTAGTTTAAAAAATGTGTCCGATGACCCAGCCAACCAACCAAGATGGCCGCCGTGGCTAAAAATAGAACATAGGGGTAAAATGTAGATTTTGGCTTATATCTCTGAAACCAAAGCATTTAGAGTAAATCTGACACAGGGTAAAACTGATTATCAGGTCAAGATCTATCTGCCCTGAAATTTTCAGACAAATCTGACAACCTGTTGTTGGGTTGCTGCCCCTGAGTTGGTAATTTTAAGGAAATTTTGCCGTTTTTGGTTATTATCTTGAATATTATTATAGATAGAGATAAACTGTAAACAGCAATAATGTTCAGCAAAGTAAGATCTACAAATAAGTTGTCATGACCAAAAATGATTATGATTATTGTTTACAGTAGCTTTTACAAAAATCTTCTTCTCTGAAACTACTGAGACAAATTCAACCATACTTGGCTATAATCATTATTAGGGTATCTAGTTTAAAAAATTTGTCCGATGACCCCGCATTCCAACCATCATGGCTGACTTGGTTAAAAATAGAACATAGGGGTAAAATGCAGTTTTTGGTTTATATCTCTGAAACTAAAGCATTTAGAGCAAATCTGACAGGTAGTAAAAATGTTCATCAGATTTAGATTTATCTGCCCTGAAATTTTCAGACGAATCCGACAACCCGTTGTTGGGTTGCTGCCCCTGAGTTAGTAATTTTACAAAAATTTTGCAGTTTTTTGTTATTATCTTAGATATCATTATAATATCTAATATCCAATACTATTAATTATGATTTTAACCTTATT